CCCCCCCGAGGGTGGCGGTGGCTGCGCCCCCTGCTGCCGCGTGACGCTGCGAGGCCTGTTCTCGCCTGCGGGCGCGGGGCCGTCGTCGTGCGTCCGAGCGGACAGGACGAAAAGGGAGCTAGGCCGGTCGAGTCGCTGTTATCTCTAATCCTGCTCGTAGATTAAATCACGTAGTTCTGCTTCTCCCTCCCTTCCCCCGGGGTCCAACTCCGGACCCTACTGTGGGAACAAGAAAAGGGGGAGCGTGGCAGTCAGGCCTGCCCTCGCCCCCAGGGACCCCCTCAGCTGCTGCCGCCGTGGCCGCCCGACCCGTCCTCCAGGTCCTGCCAACGCCTTCGCCTTGCTCCAGCACTCAGGGCAGCAGCTCACCTGCAGCCCTGACTGCCATTCCTTTCTTGCCTACTCACCGTTCAACATGGCATTCCTCCTATCCCTGCACACCAAAGACTTTGTTTGATTTTAATTGGATTTTTTTTAAATCAGTTTCCTTCTCTGCCTTCGAAGAAATAGGAAAAAAAAAAACTGGAGAAAAAGGGAGAGCTAGATGGATATTTTTGCATGGAGATCGTTGACTCCAGAAAAAGTTTACTGCCAACTCCCCTCCACCCTCGTTTTCCAGTTCTCTGACCTAAGTTAATGATATCAACTGAAATGCTTTCTTGTGCCTGCCCTAAGCAGTCGTGCATGTGTTTGAAAACAGATAAATATATTACAGAAACAATATAAAGATTTTTAAATGTCCACACATCGTGAAGTTGAAAGACAACTTTTTCTACTAATGGCCTTAAATCTGATGCAGAGGTCATCCAGTATTATCTATGTTACAGTCATCAATTTAACACAGAAGTTAGAAACAGAATTTCGAGCCCCTAGAAAATCTTTGTATTTTAAAACACTCCTCTATCCTGACAGGGTAAAAAATTAAAACCAGTCAACTCATTACCATGAAAGAAAAATTCTGAAAGAATGCTTTTATCGTTTGATAAAACCAGGTAATTTCATCAAGCAATGCCAAAACATAGGCTAGCAAGCAGCGTAGATACTGTTCATAGTATTTACACAGTTAATAGGACAGACTGCATGACATGAACTAAAATTACATTAGAAAGCTACATTTTAAATGGTCAAATAGTCAAGGAAAATCTGATAGTTTTGAATCATTTAGAATTTTAATTTAAAACATTGAACTATCATTGTTGAGCAGAAAACATGAGGAGCTTTCAGCCAGCACTACCTGAGCACAGCATTGCTATAAGCAGATAATAAATAAATATAATAAAATAGTACGCAACGCAGGAAAAGCCAGTACTAGTGTTCCTCAGTGAGGTTGCATTAATGTGTAAGAAGCACCAGATTGGTTACTTCCTGACTTCTGAACTCAGCTATGTTAGTTATGCCCTCTCTGTACATTATGTAAAGACAAGTCTTCCCACAGAAATTCTGGTTTGTATCAAGATGTATATTCAGTGCCAGTAGGCTTGAGTCATATAGCTGAATTATTTTTTTCGTTCCTTTAACTAGAGAAAAATATTGAAGGGAGTACAAAAATCTGGCAATTTCTCTTTATACAGCTTTGAAGTCTGTAGTTGAACCTCCTGTATTCTGCTGCAGAACCCAGCATTTCCTAACAGATCACCAGCATATGCAGAGAAAGAACATGAGAGGGTAAATGAGAGAGCACCAGGCTTTGCAGCCATCTATATCCATGTGACTTACTATAGTTTTGCTTAAATAGAAATGGCATCCCCTATTTTTAAGGAAAAACAGAGTAAGTTCAGAACTATAAGCTTGCATAAGCAGGACTGAAATTCATGTAATTTAAAAGTTCTGAAGTAAAATGAGGCCTTAGCTTTCAAACTGCAAACTTTGAAAGGTTTTTGACATTGATTCGTGTAAGCTTACCAACTTTTAACTTGGCGTCATATTTTATGCACTCTGCCTCCGCTAGCCCACTAGTAGTAGTACTACTAGTATGTAGTAAGAACTCATCTATTTTATAAAATATTTGAAAATAACTCCCATGTGTATACTTCCATGGATGATAGAATTCAATGACTAATTACATTTAGAACGCTATAGAAAAATTATATCCTTTCTACACCCTAGTACATAAAAACATAACAAGACTGCAGTCTTATTTTTCCTGTATTCATACTTTTGTGTTAGCAAACACATACAAGCTGAGACCACCAAGATGCATCTTTGGCTTTTCACAAAATCCCAGAATGGTTGAGGCTGGAAGGGACCTCTGAACATCCTCTAGTCCAGCCCCCCTGCTCAAGAGGGTCACCTAGAGCACGCGTCCCAGGATCGTGTGGCTTTTGAGTATCTCCAAGGATGGAGACCCCACAACCTCTCTGAGCAACCTATTCCAGTGCTAAATTAATAGAGCTATTGATCTGTTGGGAAAAGTATAAAGTATATTCTGGCAACTGAATAGGAATCAGAGTTTCAGGTTTCCATATCCCCCCGTCATTCTTCTTGTTTCTGTAAGACACTTGTAATTACAAAACAAGGTGACTTAATATTAGCTAGCTTTTCCACCAATTTCCCCGTGTAGAAACATGCTTGGTTTAAACAGGTCCGTTCTCTCTTGTTGCCCCTTTTGTTTCATCAAGATTCTCCTCTTTATGATTTCTAGAAAGCGCATGTAGGTTTTCACAAGTTTCGATTCAGTGTTTTATTGAAAAAAAAGTACCAGCTTTCATGTGCTTTCTTGCTGTGGTACTTCTTAAGATCTTGCCTTATTATATAAAAAGATGGCGAGTGTTGTACTTAGGATAGCAACCAGAATTTCAGAAGATGATTTCATTTCAAATATCCATCCTGTTCTGGAAGAGGTGGCATCAAAAAAATGTTGGCCTCAATTCCTCTTCTGTAACTCCTATGAGATAATAATTTGCTCCTTTAGCATATTATTGCAACAGTTACACCAATTATTTACAACTCAGTTACAGTGGTATTTACTGGTGGGAGCATACTATACCCTGTGCCGTGACTAGAGTTCATCAATCCCTTGACATGTCATTTTGACAATAAAAAACAGATAGGCAGAGATATGCACTACGTTCAACAAATCATGATTCTGCATATATACCAGTAGACAAGTTTACACAAAATCTAGCTTTTCATCGCAATATTTATCCCAGCATTGTTGTACTCCAATTACAAAATTCGGATCTTTGCTCTCCCTCATCTTCCCTACATACATATATAGGGGCTGTATCACCTACCTATAAACTACCTCATCAGTAAGTGCAATTCCCAGTTGGCCAGCACCCTGGAGATAGCAACACTAATAAGGTAATGTTCTGTGGAAAGCACTAGACCTTTGATCTCCCCACTAGTCAAGAAATAGGATTTTGTTTCCATGAACAAATTGCAGTTTTTTGCCAACTTGCCCACAACTACTATTGAGGACTGCTGCCTTAACACATGCATTAACCTATTTATCTCATGGAACACCAAAAAAATTATTTAAGTTGGAATTTGTCACACTTCATTTATGTATTTTTATGGACACAACTTATGTCAATTTTGTCATTTGGGGAGAGGAGGGACTGTACAAATTCTGAGTAAGACAATTAGCACCACTTAGTCGAATATTTGGTACTTTGGGTATGAAAAAAGTCTCTGCATTTGTAGTATAAGGCTTGAATGCTGAAGGCTCCTATTCAGGGCTCTGAATCGAGCAGAGACACTTAAGAAGTAGTTAATAGTTTTGAGTAGGAAAGAAGTTTGGTCTTAGAAAAGGTCTTCAAATTATTGTCATGAAGCAAGAATATTCCCTTTTCATGTAAATTCATTAGGAAGTGACTCATAACTTTCTTGTCCCAACATTCCTCTTAAGAGCATCCTATCACATGTTAGGACCACCCCACTTTCCAGGGGCCAACTAAAATCCAGTGGTTTTTGTTCATATCACTACAGCAAAAGCAGCCCGACTGGTCTCCATGCTACCTATCACAATACCACAACAGAGCAGTTAATCTCTACTTAACTCACAGCTTAATTGAAATTAGCACCATTTTTTTCCAATATAGCACACTATATTGGAAAAAAACAGCTGTCGCTCAGAAACTGAGAAATATCTTGTTCTGCTGTTCCACCTGAGGAAACAGTCTCACAATGGTAAGATTTATAATTCATTCATCCTGTTGGGTTTGCCAGTTCACACACAAACTCAACCAGGCAATGGTATTATCTTTGCAGGAAATACACTGGTACTAGCCTAAATCACCTGGGGGATTATACTAGCTTTATCAACTGAAGCATGAAAGAATCAGTACTGGAATATGCATTTTTCCTCTTACTCTCCATAGTCCATACAAAACTCCTGCATTTAACTATTTGCCAGTATCTGAACACAGCACACATTTTAGAGGCACTCACGTCCTGTGAATAGGTGCATTACATTGAAACTTTTTCAAATATATTTTGCACAACAGCATGTATTTTCAGACTCTGTCAGAAGGACCAACTGAAAGCAGTACAGCATATTTGTTACAATATGTACTGTGAGAAGAACAGTAGGGCAAGATTTCCCTTTTTGTTTACAAGCACCCTAAGTAGACACACCGAGTTATTCAGGAGTGCAGACTATACTTCATTTAGAATATAACAAAGTGCAGCCAGCTGCACTCCAGTTTCAAACCTTGCTGAAAATATCTATAATTTACATAAGCTGCTGCATTCTTTAACTGCTGCCCCTTCAGTACCAACAAAGCAGCACACTATTTCTGATAATGCATAGTGAAACCATCAGTAAGAGCAGCCTCAGAAGCTTAAAGCCTTTATCAGACGATTTTTAGATACCCTCTCATCTGAGAGCCCTCTAAATCCTTGCAGTGATTTTCCTCCATATTCCCCAAATGCTTCAAAACAGCATCTTACAACCATTTTGAAAAACCTGAGAATTTAAAAAAAACAGCTGAGTTACCCAGTAGCACCCCCACAGAAGGTACAAGTTTATCAAGTGACAATCCACAATTCAAAGATGCCCCCAACTGAACTGCTCACTTCCTCATCCTACCATTTACTTATTCGCATTGGCATTATTAAATCTGATCTATTTGTGCCTCAAGTCTACAGTGCTAACATTCCACTTTTCTTGGAGATGAATTACTTCTCTACAGCAGATAAAAAGCCCATTCTCTCTGATTTCAAAGAGTTCTAGAACAACATACTGAATGAGTAATTAATGCTTCTCAGCCAGAAGCTTATTGCTTCTTTATTTGCTATGTAAGCAACATTTTTAGAGCAGAACTAGTAAGGGAGTAATAGAAAATAAACAAGCTATCCATTAACTACAACCCTTAGCTATTGGTTAATTAACAGATAGAAACCTCTTTTAAAATTCAGCAGAGATTATGGTCCTCTTCAAGATGGGAGATGCTATCAAAGAAAAGTCAAACAACAAATTATATGTAATGAATCATCTCAATCCATCAAGAAGTTCTGTGTGTGTATATTTATCTTTTTTTCCAGGAATCTCATATTTCATTGAAGTAAAACATATATAAAAGCTAAAAGTTTTTCTGGATAAGACCATTTATTTTAACAAATAGATGAGTCTTTACGATGAACTGGAGGCTGCAACAGCTGCTCTCTTGGGCTTCGGTGTGGTTCCCTCACGGAATCCATTCCTGCAAGTAGAAATAGTTACTGCTCCAGGTTATATTTTCTAACAAGTCATGTTTTAGATGAAGTTCACTAGTTTTTGTTCAGCTTATCTCAGTAATGCACCGAAATCACTATGAAATTCATATGTTCAGACATTTATAATACGAAACATCATCGACAAGCTGCCTGGAATGAGCAGTAAGTTCCTCTCTTCTGCTGAAGTACATTCCATTTCTTCAAATGGAAAGATTTCAGCAACCGAGTAAACACTGCAAAAAGGAATCAAATACAGCACAGCTACTGAAGGCACTCCATATTTTATGTCCTTAAGTGACTCAACAAAAGAAGGTTTCAGTTTTGTTAGTAATGAGTACTGAATGGCAAGTTTTCTGTTTAAAAAAAAAAAGCCTCCAACTAGAGAGTAAGGAAAAAAGTGGAAAACAACAAAAGAAAAGTCAACTTCAAGCTGACTTTTGGATACAGCATTTCTACTTCAGCAATACCTGGTGCAAAGAAGCAGGTTGCAGTTTGCGTAAGTTACTTTCTGGCTACTGCTGGGCAAAGACTCTGGCTGACCAAAAGAGATGAAACTAATCCCTCAACTATACCCTAGTGCCATGACTTCAGATCCCCACTTTTCAATTACAAAATACAACCCACATTTTTAAGAAAAAGGACTTCAGAATTACTTGATGTTTTCTATCCAGCTTTCTCAGACACTGGGCTGATAGTTACAGAGCTCCATTTTAGAACATGGAGATCATAAAGGAGAAATTCTTAATGAGTTGCTTAACATTACCATACCTCCACAGCACCTCTTAACACTAAGTGGCTCACAAATAAAAGCAATTCTACACAAAGCATCACACCTTTTGAAGCGTGGCCATTTTACAGCAAGATTCTCAGTGTTCTGTATTATCTAGCCTCATTATAAACATTAAAGCTTGCTACACTTCCTCTGTATGACTAATGATTCAGTTTCTTATCCCAGAAAAAATATGCTGCCAGTTATATTAATTTAAGACATCCTTTATATCATGACATATTTTGAAAGTTTAAAACCACACCACACTAAACACATTAAATAAAAGAGCAGTATTGAGTCTGAATGACAGATCTTACAATTCGCTGAAATCCATGTAAGATTTCACAATATACTACTCTGTATTAAAACATCGTTACCTGAATCGACGGTAGACCTTCTTCAGGTGCCTCATGCGACCTGTACCAGTGGTGTTGCGTCTTTTTGCCTTCGCACTCCAGTTATCTAGAATATATGTTACCATTACCCATCTGCATCACCTGCATGATTAATTGCATAACCCATTTGAATAGCACAACTATGCAATCTCACAGAAACAAAAGAAAAGTTCTACTAAAATAAACTAATTTCTACATAGTAACACAGCACAGTTGTTATCTGAGATATAGTTAAGTCAATGCTAACTTCAGAAGTTTCAGAAAAGCTTGACGCTGCTAGGTAACTCAATAGTCTTCTTGACTAAGGGAAAACTCAGATTACTAAACAGTTGCCTTCACTGTGTTCATTTACACAGCACTATAAAGTCTGAGTTACTCATTGTCACTTTGCAGAAAAGAAAACATAACAGCAGCGAAAGTTTTTACATTGAGGTCAGTTAAAAATTTCTTACTTACACTTTCTCTTACGCTTAGCAGGGTAACCACATTTCCCACAGGTAGACTTCTGCAGATGGTATGCCTTGGACCCACATCGACGACACAAGGTGTGTGTCTTATTCCGTCGCTTACCAAACGACGAAGTACCCTTCGTCTAAAATATATTTCAGAACATTGTATGTTGTAAACACTACTGAGAGACGTGAATCATACACATAAAGCAATTCTGAAAAACATGCACAAACTCCGATGAACGTGTCAGAGACACAGGAACTCATCAGGTTCCTTGTATCTCTCCTCACCACCCTCCTGCCCTCCTCATGTCGAAATAAAACTAAACTGGCAAGGGACTAAACCCCTCCCTTCCCACCTCCCCCAAACTCGTCACTCACAAATACCTTTCCTCAAAGTACACATAAAGCAATTCTGAAAAACATGCACAAACTCCGATGAACGTGTCAGAGACACAGGAACTCATCAGGTTCCTTGTATCTCTCCTCACCACCCTCCTGCCCTCCTCATGTCGAAATAAAACTAAACTGGCAAGGGACTAAACCCCTCCCTTCCCACCTCCCCCAAACTCGTCACTCACAAATACCTTTCCTCAAAGGAAGCCCGTGCGTTACTTGCTC